CCCCCCCCCCCTCCCTTGGGGGAAGCTGAAGTCGAAGTTTAAGGGCTAGTGGTAAATATCGTAAAGCCTGCCATTTGAGAAAAATATTGGCTATGCTAGAGGCCACTGATTCTACTCCCATTGCCACGGAGCTTGTGAAAAGAGTGACTGCCCTCAGAGGCAAGGGGGGCCGATGTGAAGAGTAGCAGATTCCAAGTCCCCCCTCCCCCCCAGCCAGAAAGGCTGAATGGTGCTACTGTCTACCCGAAATGAGGGTTAGAAATAGCTTTCTTAATTGGTCTAAAGCTTACCAAATATAAGTGACAATCGTTCATAATCGGTTATCGAGCACTTAATTTAGAGCAGAAAGTGGTTTAATTAAACAACCGTACTATATATTACTTCCCAAAATCAGCTCTCTTCCGGGTACCAAGTTAAACACAAGTTGCGTGCCAAGCCAATATAGCAAGATCCTTCAACGACACTACTTGCAGGATGTGCACATAAAGTTCTCTCAAGTTTCAAAAGTCCAATAAATAAGCGAAACTTACGCTTCCCGTATTGAACCACTCGAACACCCTCCCGAATATTCTCCGTGAATACGGGGTAAATGGGCTAAAAATGGAAACATTACAATTTCAACCGGAATTTATTAAAACTAACAACACACCACAAGCATTGGATAATAATGAAAAAAAAACATGCTCATTCGAAAGGCACCTTCTTGGCTTTAATGGCAATTCGAGCGAAACCACGTCTTTTGCCCCAGAGAAGTGAATAATATTCGTCAGAGAAGATAGCCTCTCGAACACCACCCGGCGAGAGGAGAAGCACCTGCCCAGATCTGGATGGATTCACGCCCTTGCGTGATTGAGGCTCAGAGGTTTCTGAAAGTGTAAATAGAAGATTGCAGGGGGTCTTTAAAGTGGCAAGAAATGACAACTTCAAATAATCAACTTAGGGACACTTTTTTCGCATAAAACGACTAACCCTCGGGACTATAATTGGCGTGATGTGATCGGTTAGCCTCCGTTAGAGAAGGGTTGAGTAGGGAAACACACTCTTCTATAGATCCTTCCATAGCGCAGGTTAATCGGAGAATCTGTTGAAGACCAGGCAGGCGGAATAAGAATCGATCCACAACAGGAATGGGATGTCTGAAATACACAGTGAGCGCATTTGTCAATGGAGTTTAAAATATATTCGCTACTTATAAATATTTAAGTAAGCAAGAAACTAGTACAATTATATTAATGCATGGGGTGTGCGATAGACTTACCTCCACGTGGTGCACCCTGGGCAACGTATATTCATACGGCAAAAAAGTCTATTAACTGGCAGTTGACTTCTCACTTCTAGCTACCATCACCTCACTCTATGCCATATTCGACTATATCCACAGTACTCACGTCACCTTTTCCGCCTTTGTGTTTGTCTCTTACATTTTTGAAACACTCCTCTGTTCACCCCCCCCCCTCTCGACTTTTTTCAATTTGATGTACCTTCCCCTCTGTGAAGCCTGAAGTCACCTAAGGGGCTAATGATAACCATCAAGACGCCTGCCATTAAATAAAAAAATATTAATGCATTCGGTTTGTCGGGTTGAAATATCTTGGCGACTATTACAGACACCCCAATTTCACCTCCCGGAGATGTACAGCAAGTGCTCATGCTATGACATTATCAAAGTGACCTAAAAAATTTGACTTTTATGCCATAAAGTTAGTATTCCATTACCAATTTTTAAAAAGAATTAGGCCCGAACGCCAGCTTATTAGAAAATATGAAAATCTCAGGGTGCAAATATCAAGTGCCGAATGGTAGGCCATTGCTAGACAAGAAGGAAAGAATAGGCTGCCTTGAGGGCACTTCGAGCAACATGAATGGCCTAAAATGGTAAACAAAACTGCCAAAAGAGAAAGACTAAGACGCAGACACGGGGCTGGTTGATTACCTTAATTTCGCCGATTGACCTCAAATAAGACCAATTATAAGCCAAAATTAGAACAGCAAAAGTAAACATGATCTACGGGGCCAGTGGCCTCTACTTCGCTTAAAATACCTTTGGCTGGTGTCTCATCAAGCAAGAAGAAGATTCAAAAAAACTAATCAAAATGCTGAACACACGCTGATCATTTTAGACAAGAACTGAAGAAAATTGAGGATGAAATTAGGACCACTGAGTTTTGCGAAGTTTTAATACTAAAAATTAAAGTTAAACCCTTTGACGACAGTTCACAGCGCAATGCTTCCAGAATTCAAATAAAAGCAGAGCTCCTTAAAAGGCTGTCTTCATTATATTCGCCTATTCGATTTTTGAAATATCCGTTATCCGCACTCCCTTCTCTGCTAAATTCTAACAGTATTATTAAATAACAAAGAACGGTATTGGTAAGGGAAGAGAAGAGACGGATGGATGAATATCTATAGGGGAACAAGTTGAGCTAATTTTAGATCTTCTCAAAATAGAATGCACTAGTCGGAAAATCGAGTGTATGAAGAATGAATCCTACGCAACGAACACAATGAATTCCGTTAATAGCAGCGGAAATAAACGATTCTCCTTCCTATAACAATCAGTGAATGGTGAGCACTTCATTGGATCCCCACTGCCAATGAGCTGACTTTTGTGATCGCATAAATTGCAAAACTCGGTCATCACATTTTAAGGTGACTCTAAAAAGCCCCATTTGTTTATTGTCTGCTAGCAGAGAACACACACACACACACCTAAGATGAGCTTAAAAGCGTTAAAACTACGAAATTAAGAGGTTGGGAAAGAACTGAACAAACCGATCTCGCAGTATAATATGTCTTGCCATGAAGTAATAGGCATCCAGAGGTAAGGTTCCATGATAATATATCAGAAATGCGCCTTCACCAGGTGGGGGCAACTTCTCCATACCGAACACCTCGTAGCCGTGGAATGCTCGACCATGGGCCTCCCAAACAGCCGCCATGAGACGCACCAACAGTTCGTCTTTGGAAATATTCGACTCCCCTGAAGCGCCGAGCAGATTTTCTGTAGAAAATAGGAGAGGAGAGGGGGGGGGGGGAGTGAGATGAATAGGTGCATCAAAGTAGAAAAAAAAATGGAGCAGAACTTAAAAAAATACAGCGAACTGACTTCTTTTCGAAAGCTACAACTTTTCCCACCTCATTAGAAGGGCTCATATCAATTGACTTGGGTGGAAAAGCCTCCCGCGTATTCCCCCCACCTGCCCTGTTGACCGGATCACCCATATACCACTGGATGTGCCCGATGGCCAGCGATCACGTGACTCCTGACTAGGCAGTAGCCCACGTTAATTAACTATCGCATGAATGAGGCGAATACTATTAGCGCAAATAGGGCATTCTAATCAGAATCTCTTTAAGAGGCCTTTTGAGGAAATTAAGAAAGATAGATGGGAACATTGTTTTGACCAAAATTGACGTTGACATTTATTTATTTAATTATTTATATCAAATAGCAGGCGTTTTGATAGTTATCATTAGCCCTTTAGTTGACTTCAGGCTTCACAGAGAGGAGGAGGAACATCAAAGTGAAAAAGGTCGAGATGGGGGGGGGGCAGAAGAGTGTTTCAAAGATGTAAAAGAGAGAGAGACACAAATGTAGGAAAAAGGTGATGTGAGCACTGTGGAGGTAGTCGAATATGACATACAGTGGGGCGATGGTAGTTTGGAGTCAGAAGTCAACTGCCGGTGCACCACGTGGAGGTAAGTCTATCGCACACCCCCCGTTGACATAATAAACGATATACCTATCGTCCCCAGTGTAAAATTCACGTTCATCTTCATTACAATTGGAGGGTTGATGTGGGAGGAGGACCAAAGGTCCCGCGTTCTATTCAATTCTCCCCTGCTCTCCCAAGGGAGAATTGCCAAGGTGACAAGGCGGGGGCATGCGAGGTTCAGGGACACTTCCTTTACCATAAATCGAGGATAAAAAAGACAATCATGGACTTTAGTTCTCCTCCATCAAAATTTGTAGACCATCTTGATCTTGACGCACTAATTAAATCTTGAAAATCAAAAGTAACATTGAAGAAAACTGCAAGCACATTTAAGTTATGTCTTTAGTAGCCTTGAAGAAAAAGCAGCATTCAATGACTGATGTGTTCACTTTCAACTTCGAGGGTGATCACTTTTAGATTCCACAACAACAATAGAAATAAAATCATTATCCATATACATGGTTGAGTAATCCATATACCAAAGACAAACACAAGCTGAATTCAATCGATTTTTTCTGCAAAAATTGGCGCCTTCTTATTGGTTCGTTTGTATAGTGTAAGGAACTTATGATCACGGAGCAAGAATTGTGCGCGAGAAGAAATGTACAAGTTAATAGGAGGAGAATTGAAGTTGCACGATCAACCAAGGGGTCAAAGAAGTACAAGGTTTCACTGAGAACACCGGTAGGTAGTTCGTGCTGTACTTTAAAACATGAAGGAGCGTACAGAGAGGATTTAAATAAGAAGCTGAAACTTCCTGGACAACTTGATTTTATTGCCACTAATTTCCTCGCCCATTGGAATAGTTTATTGTCATCTTGGTTCTGGTAAAATTTATTTATTTACATCAAATGCCGGGCGCTTTGATAATTATCATTAGCCCTTTAGTTGACTCCAGGCTTCACAGAGGGAAGGATGAATATCAAAGTGAAAAAGTTGAGAGGGGGGGGGGGGGGAACAGAAGGGGGTTTCAAAGATGTACAAGAGACAGACATAAAGGTATAAAAAAAGGTGAGGTGAGTACTGTCGGGTCAAGGTAGTTTGAAGTGAGAAGTCAACTGCCTGTTAATAGACATTTTTGCCATATGAGTATACGTTGCCTAGGGTGCACCACGAGGAGGTGTAAGTCTATTGCACACCCCGATCCTGGTAAAATAATTTGAAGGAGAAAAAGATAACCCCTTGGTACTTGGCTTTCATCCTCCAAATCACATAGCACACACATAGACACACTGTTAACCAAGGCGAAGAGTGAAAAGAATTCAACTCAATATATATATCACTATGAATTGAACTCACCAACTATCCAGTGTCTCAAGATGTACAGCTGCACCAAGAGCGCAGTTCCATAGAGGAAGGCAACAAAGGTCACAGGGAGAACGAGAAAGCCCAGCACGATTGGCCAAAGCCACGCCAGACAGGCAGCCACATACCTTGGCAGATGTCGTGCCAAAATGGCGAGGAGCTCGAAGAGGAGATGAGGCAACGCGAGTTTGGCCTCCGCTTGATCTGAAATGACTCCACAGGTCTCATTGCATAGGGGGGAGGCTGAAGGTGGCGGGAGGGGGAAGAAATGCTCATGGAGAGCGAAGAGGCATAAGAGAAGGATGGAAGTCGTGAAGGTGAAGACAGCGAGGAGGTATAAAAAAGGAGAAAAACACATTGTTCCCTGACACCTAGAAGTGGAAGATGGATAATATTAGGAAGCCAAAAAAAACATATGGATTGCATGAGGATAATAACATTTCATTCCAATAGAACTGGGGTGCTCAACCCTTGCTGGTTTTCTAAACAATTATTCTTAAGAATACGATAGACTTACCTCCACGTGGTGCACCCTGGACAACGTACTTTCAAATGGCAGGCGTTATGATAGGTATCATGGGGTGTGCAATAGACTTATAAACTTACCTCCACGTGGTGCAGCCTGGGCAACGTATACCCCTCCACGTGGTGCACCCTGGCCAACGTATAATCATACGGTCTTACCTCCACGTGGCGCACCCTGGGCAATGTATACTACACCTTACCTCCACGTGGTGCACCCTGGGCAACGTATTCTCATTCGGCTACCTCCACGTGGTGCACCCTGGGCAATGTATACTCATACACCTCCACGTGGTGCACCCTGGGCAACGTATACTCACGATAGACTTACCTCCAGGTGGTGCACCCTGGACAACGTATACTCAAACGGCACCTCCACGTGGTGCACCCTGGGCAACGTATGCTCACTTCAAACTATCATCACCTCACTCTATGCCATATTCGACTATTTTCACAGTAGTCACCTCACCTTTTTCCACTTTTGTGTCTGTCTCTTCTACATCTTTGAAACTCTCTTCTGTTCCCCCTCTCCCTCTCGACTCTTTTTCACTTTGATGTTCCTCCTCCTCCTTTCTGTGAAGCCCGAAGTCAACTAAAGGGCTAATGATAACTTTCACAACCCCTGCCATTTGATATAAATAAATAAATTCCAATAGAACTGTTGATCGAATAACCAATTCTATTCGGTAAATTTTTAAGAGTCCCCTCCTGCTAGTGAATTATCTTATAACACCTCCTTCGAATCATATTGGCCTTCACTTGTTTATGGTGTATTAAGAGTGAGTAAAAGTACAGCTGGAAGAAAAGTTGAGGAGGTAGATTAACAAATATCACACCAGTATTAATTACATCTCTCTTGGATACCAGTGTGCCAATTTATTTTAATTTCATAAGACAGTTAAGAAATAAATACGTAAAGAGAAAAAGTTCATCATTAATTTGCCACACAATTGCATTAAATAACACTCCGTATCAAACTAGAAATAAGAGAAGTAGAAACGGAACAATTAGTCACATCTTAAAAATATTTTATTTAAGGTGATTCGTACCAACATAGGGATGTGTAACGTGGAAGAGTATAAAAATTATTTATAAAAATCAACAGAGCCTGCTTCGCGTAGCAACCAACCAGAGTATAAGCGACTTATGAGTTCGCGAATTTGATATACATCCTGGAAATGAGTATTAAACTGTCGTTCATCGTATTTAAACGATTTTTTGAGTTTATAGACCTTATTCCACATGAATTGTTTGTGTTCCGTCTTGAATTTAGCGTGTCTGAGATATTACCGTTACCCCAAGTTATATGACCTCTTTTATGCAACTAAATTGAAAAAAATTCAGTCCAAGTAGAATTAATCCTGCTCTATATTGTTCCCAATGAACTAATTAAATCATAAAAAAATAAATGAAATGAGATAATTTAGGGAGGCCTTACAAAAAAAATTTCTAGGCACGTGGGTAACTAGAAGAGAAGATGTGTTAAAAAGCCACGACGTGGGGTAGATTTGAACCTAAAACAAAATATTGGAGAATTTTCTAGAATAGTTTTTATGAGAGGCCCAAAATCTACCACCCTAGATATTCAACAAAAATGTCAGGTACGGTAGGTCGTCAACACCACTTGATGTGTGCTGAAGAAATAGGAATCTTGTATTATAGATAACTAGAGTCACAATTCGACAAACTCCATTTCGACAATCCCTCTTCCAAACTATTTGAATCGATACAGTTGATCATGCTATTCAAAGGCAGTACCCCTTAGTTGATATATCCATAGTACACAACAGTGAATATTGTTCAGATTGAAGACTCTAATGTCGAATCAAATGGAAATCAAATCAAATGCCGAGTGATAGACTTTTTTGCCGTACGAAGATACGTTGTCCAGGGTGCACCACGTGGAGATAAGTCTATCGACACTAATGTACTTTAATGGCAGAAAAGGTGAGTAGGGTAACAATAAGTGCATGCACCACGAAATAAATGGAGTTAACCATAGTCATGGGATTCCTTATGGGAAAAGTGAATAGGGAGCTGAGGTTGGATGGATTT